GAGAGGAACGGAGGCTGGAGGGGGAGGGAGCAGGGGAGAGGGAGGGGCAGGCCCCCCCCCCCACAGCACCCACATTCGGAAATGATTTCTCCTGCGTCTTCCTTTCCATGGGACCACGGAGCCACCTACACCCACCTGACCAGCGTAACCCAGGGGAGCCGGCCTGAATCCTGGCCTCTCTTGGGCTCAGAAGAATGCGGACCACAATAGGTAGTGTTGGATTACTCTGGCCAGCGCCTCACCTCACAGATGTAGAAACTAGGGCTTCGGAGGCCCAGGGCCATGGGGACAGTACAGGACACACATAGGCAGCCAGGTCACCTGACTCTTCTCAGGCCACCGCCTTTTCCTGGTGGTGCAGTTCTCCCCACATTGGAAATCCCCTTTACAGTAAAATCACAGTGTAACTCATGAAGACAGGGATATTAATCACGGGGCCACCTTAGAATTCTGCCTCCCATAGGGCCTGAGGCTGCTGTACCCCTACCTGGCTGTACGCCAGGCCAGCCCCTAGCAGGAAGTGTTCTCTGCCATTGGCTGGCTGCCCCTGTCACTCAGTGAGGCCAGACCAGAGTCCCCAGTACGTAGATTTTAACAGTGGGGCAGACAGTGGGGTGGACAGGCCCTCAGGTACACTGATCTTGCTTCCGTTTCCCTCCCTGCCCAAGTGGCCCAGACAGTCTCACCCAAGGCTGAGGTGCACCCAAGAAGCACAGAGGTGGCAGAAGGGGGAGAGCCAAGAGCTTGTCAGTCCTGGTTACGGCTGCCCATCAGCCAGGATCCTACTCTGTCTTTTTACGTTTTTACCTGGTACCCTGACGGGCATCATAAACATTAGTATTCGTTCTTGTAATAAGTATTTATTGAGAGCATGCGCCAAGTACTGGCGGAGGAACTGGGGGCAAGGTGGCAGGAACCTCACCTTCGGAGACTGAAAGGAGAGGTCTGTGCACAAACCCCGTGGGTTCTCGCCCAAGTTCTGAACTGTACCGGCTCTGTGGCCTAGCTAAGTCAGCTATCCTTCCCGATTCCTAGTTTGCTTGCCTGAAATACTGGGATGACACAGGATGTTGGTGCGAGGCTGAATAGACAGGCGGACAGTGGCCAGACCCTCTCTCCATACCAACAGAACTCTGACCCAGAATCTGCAGGAACGAGCCCCGAAAGTCGGCCTGTTATCTCTTAAAATCAGACTTGTAGGAAGTCAGACTCCCGCTAACAACTGGTCCAGGAGACCAAATAATAACCCCTGTAGCAGTCGGCCCCAGGTGGCCAGAATTCGATTGATGTCTGACAGCTTCCCTAATTCTTGTCCCTGATTCCAACTTAGGGCCGACTAAAACCACATATGCACCTCTAACCAATCACGTAGAAATCACCTGATTTCTAGTTAGCCCCCCTCGAGTGTCCCCTTGCAGACAACCTCCCATCAGGGCACACTGGGGGCCTTTCCTTGTTCCACTGGAAAGCTCTCCCACTTTGAGTCCCCGTCAGAGGCAGGTGCTGGTGGCCGACCCCTTGTACAGCAAGCTCAGGACCTTCGCTTGTTCTTTTCTGGGTGGCCTCCGTTTATTCCCACATTGGGGTCAGAGGAGTAGGGGGCATGGGAGAGCTGGTTAAGAGCCCAGAGCTCTAGAAATGTAAGGTGGGAAGATTCGAGGTGGGAAGGTTCCCGGCGAGGACCGGAGGAAGCAGCACAGACCTTCTAGTGGGTGGTTGGAGCTGTGCCCCATCGCCCTTCGCCAGCCAGCCCCTGTGCCCAGCCCTCTTTTCCACATCCATTCACACCCCTGGAGGCTGGGTCACTCGGTCCTTCTCCCGTGACAGAAGAGCAATGCCCTCCCCACGCCGGGGCCTGCTGCTCTCACACCACAGCCTTCCATTCAAAGCCGACTCACACAGGCCCTGCCGGCTTCCCTCCACGGGATCCTCTCCGCTCCCACCATCCCGCCCCCTCATGGCACCCCTCCCCCATCTCCCGTCTCCTGCACCCCCGCCTCCCCCACCACCTTCCTGCGAGTGGTGTGGCAAATCAGAGGCTATGGTGCCAGGGCATCTTGGCATTCCTCTCTCTCCCTGGCCTTGCCCTGCCTGCTAAATATACATCTAGGAGGAGTCTGCGATGGAAGCCCCACAGGCCTCGTTAACTCTTTCACCTCCAGCAGCCATAAAGAGGGCAGACGAGAGAGAGAGAGAGAGAGAGAGAGAGAGAGAGAGAGAGAGAGAGAGAGAGAGAGAGAGGGAGGGGGGGGGGTTGGCAACCTAGAGCCTCCACCCGGCTCAGCTGGGGGGGCAGGAGGACCCAGTCCACCACACCAGGCCAGAAGGATGGGTCCTGGGGTCCCTGTTGGGAATGACCTGTGAGAAGAAAACCAACTGTACCCTCCCCACCTCTCCCCCTCCCCACTCCTGCCCACAGTGAGGAAGCCAAAGTAAAGGGGGCCGGGTGGGGGGTCTGTCGCTCAGATCTCATGGCAGCAGTGAGGCCAAGTCAGGCCCTAACCCACTTTCTTCAGAAAGGACTGAAGGAAACCCTCAGCTCTCCTTCCATGAGAAGGTGAGAGAGTGCCGGGCAGGCTGCCCACCTTCTCCCCAGGGGGGGGGTCCCCTTTCCAGGCTTCTTGAATGGAGGTGTGAAATCTGGGGAGCAGGCCTCAGACTGGAGGAGGGGGGAGTCCCAGGATGCACTTAGCCCTCTACCTTCCCTTTTTCCCAAAATGGCCCAGGATAGGCCCACCTTCCTTCACCCTCTCAGGCTGCAGGCTGGCAAGGGCGGGGGAGGACTTGGGGAGAGTTGTCTGGGGGGACAAAGGTGGGGCAGACAAAAGACTGTCCCTCCTGCTTTGTGACCAGAGGAAGAAACTCAGCCAGCTCAGGGGACCTCTCCAGAAGCAGCGGCAGGCGTGGACGGAGCCTGGCCCTGGGTCCCTGCTGTGCTTTGGACTCACTGTGGGGTTTGGCAATCTCCCCGACCCCTCACCTTCCTGGCCCCTTTCCCTCCATCTCTGTCCTGTGGGGCCGCTGCCAAGGCTCAAACTCCCTCAGAGGGCAGGATGCCCAGGTGGCTACTATAGACAGGACCTGCTGGCCAGGGGCTGGGTCCAGGTGGAACTGGACTGGGGTGGGGCGAGTGGGACCCCAGCGGCACTGACAGAGGCCCCAGGATCTGAGCCCAGACAAGCTGAGCTCCCCACAGTGAGGAAGGCAGGCCAGTGGAATCTGAGGCCAGTGGGAAGGGTGGCTGGGCCCTGCCAACTGAGGGCGGAGGGACGAAGGCCATGAAAGAGCCCTTCACACAGTTCTCGCACAGGAAACCTTTCCAGCCGCCAGAATGATCTGAGAAAACTACAGCCACAGCCTGGCAGATGGACGTGGCTTCGTGGCTTCAGGGTGCAGGGGAGTGACAAGGGGAACAGCTGAGCTCTCCCACCCAACTATTCCCCGCTGACCGTAGGCCCCAGGGCTGACACAGTTTCTGTGCAGTAACTTGGATCGCCTACAAATCGGCCTGAAAACCAGCAACGGCTCCCCGTCCCCGCTGTCCATCCAGCCAGTCCTGCAGCGCCCCCTGCTGTCTGCGCCGAGAGTGACAGGCATCAGGCGCAGTCCGGCCGCACCCCGTTGACAAAGGAGACAGGGCCTGGGGGGTATCGAGGAGTCAAGATTCCCAAGACACCCCCATGTCAAAGACCGTCCCGTCGTCCCTGCTAGCACATCTATAACCTGACGGGCCAAAGGACTCAATGTTTAATTCAGAAAGTGTGGCCCTGCCCTCTGGGCGACGCGTTCCCTGGGCCCTGTTGCAGATCATCCAGAAACCTGCCTCCCTGTCCCTATCATGTCCCCTCCCATCCTCCGCCCCGGAGGGGACTGGACAGCTGTGGGCCCCTGGTACCCAACCCAAATGCCTCTTTTCTTCCGGATGAAAAGAGAAAGGGAAGCCCCGCAAAGGGAAAACTGAAGTGAGCTGGAAGGGAGCTGTGGGAAGACGCAGGGCTGGGGGAGTGAAGACTAGCCCTGGAAGGAGCTCCGACATCTTCCAGGAAGAATGGAGAGGTCATGTTGAAAGACACAAGGCTGACGCTGAATCCTGCTACACCCACCAGAGAGGGAAAGGCGGAGGGGTACTTCACGTAAAGCTAAGAGAAACTGGATACGCAGCCAAACCGATTTTGCTCTTTAGAATAACCATAGCGTTACAGGCTGATTGTATCCGGCCCAAATTCATAAGTTGAAGCCCTAACTCCCTGTACCTCAGAATGTGAATTTAAAGAGGTAATTTAAATGAGGCTGTTAGGTGGGAGCCAATCTGATCTGACTGGTGTCCTTATAAGAGGAAATTTGGACCCACAGAGAGATGCCAGCGATGAGCCTGTACAGAGGAAGGACCGTGTGAGGACACAGGGAGAAAGGGGCCATCTGCAAGCCAAGGAGAGAGGACTCAGAAGAAACCAAACCTGTGAACACCTTGATCTTGGACTTCCAGCCTCCAGAACTGTAAGAAAATAAATTTCCATTGTGTAAGCCACCCAGATTGTGGTACTTAGTTATGACAGCCCTAGAAAACGACTACACATAGATATAGAGACCAGAAAACAATTTGTCAACCAACTTCCAAACCAGCAAAAATCACATACAGACTTGGGAAGAAGTGAAAGACCCTTGAACAATAACTGTCCTCCAATATTAACAAAATGTTAATGACAGAACATAAGACTAACAGATTGCACAATATATGGGGGGTACCGTAAGGAAGAGACAGAATTTCATAATGGGTTTCTGTTCACCAAGATATCTGAGCAGATGGGTTGGAGAAGGAGAGAAGGCTGACTCACACCCCTGCAGGCTCATTCTCCTCTAGGAGCAATTGAGAGTTTAAAGATTAAAAACAAACAAACAAACAAACAAACAAACAAACAAACAAACCCCCACAAAACAAAACAATAAAACCAAAATAAAAAACAAAAGAAATAAAGATAAAAATGCATAAGGGAACGAAAAACAGTTTTAATATTACTTTTCGTTTACAGGTCAGTGATAGACTTATCAAAGTGAGGACCTCTTCATTTCGTTAAAGGTTACCAAAATGTTGAAAAAAGAACTGTTACCTAATGCAGCTTATTAGGAAAATATGATATTGGTTCCCAAATCCAGTTAAGTCCAGGACCAAAAAGTTATAAGTGATGCAAAGCATCCCTGAAGCTGCCCTTCTGCTCCTGAGAGGTGACAGGTGATGGGGGAACAGACCAGGAACCAGCAGACTTGGGTTTGATTGAGTCTGTTGCTCTGGACCAGCTTAGGGCCATGTGCATATCATCTAATCTTTCTGTGCCTCCTTTTCCTTAGTTTGTAAAATGGTTACAATACACAGGATACGGGATTGTTTGAAAACACTGATGGCGCCCCAGCCTGTGGGTACAAGTGAGGTCACATTAACACCGAGTTCTGGTGGCTCGAAGCCCCAACCTGTGCCAAACTTGACCTACCTCAATAGAGCCTCCCCGCCTATTTCAGGAAGTTCCTGGTTTCACCAGTGTCAGGGACAAGTGAGTGACTCCTTCTGTCTCCTTGAGGACAGTCCACCAACCAGTTGAGAGAGGCGTCCTGTCATTGGTCTTGCCCCATCTGCAGAAGCCTTCCATGACAAGGGCGTTTCCTGATTCGGGCAGCTCTGCTGCAGGGTCCTGCAGGTTTCGTACAGAGTGGATAGCAGATCCCTCCCCGACCGTGTTCCATTTGGTTCTGCATCAGAAAGGCATCTTTCCTCCCAGAGCCTCCTTCTGTAGGACAGACTTAGGCCGGGGGGCTGGGCTGGGGGGGACAATAGTCTGTCTCACCCTCCAGGGCCCCCCTCTTCCCCTGGGGTGCCTGCACGTCCATCCCTTCCTCCTTAAGCAAAGAATGAAGGCCTGGGGCATGAACTCTGACCCACACTGTGTGCTCCTTGGGGAACCCCATGCCCCCAATTCACTCAGGGTCAGCCGCGTCCATGCGGTGGCCAAAATGGCGGGACTCACAGGCCCTCGTTCCTTTCTCTGAACTCCTGGGACCAGATGTGTCTCAGGATTCAGAGTTTTTCAGAATACAGAAAGGTTACGTGTGGCCTAGTTGAAGTAGTAGATATTGATTCTAGCAGCGGGAGGGGCTGCAGGCGTAACCACACCCAGCGGAACCTAGGCAGCCGGTTTGCACCGAGACCTACATCGTCTCCCATTCGTTCAGATCAGGTTTTGTTACTAAATGTGGTAGTGGCAAACTCAGGAAAAGTGTTTTGGCTTTCAGAGCTTTTTGGAGTTTCCAATTGCGGATAAAGAAATGGAGACCTGGCTTCTCTTCTTTTGGGGCGTGGCTGAAAGTCCCTTCTCAGATGGCCCTGCTCTGGGGAGGAGAAAGGAAAGGGGCAAAGCTGAGCGTTTATTGTGCACTGACTGTGTGCCCCCGCACACATCAGGCTCCTTTGTCCATGTAACCCCATTAAGGGGCTGGGTGCTGGTGAGGGCCTGGCCTGGGCTCAGTCCGACCAGGAAGCTGAAAGCAGGACTGCTAATGTGTTTACCCAAGGCCTGGAGCAGGTGGAGGTCCATCTGCTAATCTCTCCCAGCTGCCGCTCCAGGCTGACGTTGCTGAAAGGAGAGAGGGGGGCCCTGGAGAAGCCGGGCGGGGATTAGCAGAGCCCCTCAGCGTCGGTCTCAGACGAGGGGAGCCATCTATTTCCTCCTGCAGTGGAGACGGAGGCCTTTCCCCAAGTGGAGTGGGCTCGGAGGGCTGGGCTAAGCCCTCCCTTCCTGATCTTCCTTCCCTGGCCCCTAGGCTGAGAGGGCATTTCCTTCTCCACACAGTCATGGCAACGATGAAAAGTGCAGCCCCAGGAAACCTGCAGGCCCTTGAGCCTAACTCTGGCTCCAGGGCAGGGAGTGAAGCGGAATCAAACCAGCATGCCTGAGACCCAAGGGACTGCGTCTCCCCAGGACTGGGGCATCAAATCAAAAGGCCACTGCCTTTCGGAAGTGCTCGGACGAGCACATTTGGCTCCCCCGGCCCAGGAACCCGGGAGATACCTTCCTTTTCACCCTGGCATTGCCACTGGGAGCCAGAGAAGAGACCAACTCAGGGAATGAGAGGTGGGCTCCAGGAAAAGGGGGTGGACTGGAAACAATTCATATCCATCCATCTTTTCATTCATTCATTCATTCATTCATTCATGCATTCAACCAACCTTAATTTAGCCTTCATAATGGGGCAGGTGAGATGTCCCTCACAAAGGAATGCCCATAGCAGTTGACATTATTAGGCTGTGCCTGGCCAAGCCCCTTCCTTGTCCCAGGAAATGGGAATTGCTGGTGAATTTAATGTACAAGTTGGATAAATTGTCCCCCCTTTACCTGGGGGGGCACCCCTGAAGGAGCCTCTTCCTTTACCCCCAGATTGCAAAGTTGGGTGTTGATACAGTTTGTGGGCACAACCACAAAGGCCCAGTACATCTGGCTCTGAGCCACCCAAGATCCCTGGCTGGACCCCTTCTCTACAATTCTGCCCCTTTGGGGTGTCCTGGAGGCTTCAGCATAGGCTCCACCCCCATGCCTTCTGGCCGTGACCCCAGGATGCAGGGCAGGTGGGCACCGTGGATGACCTCTTGGACAATGACCCGGAAAGTCTTGCTGACAAAGCAGTAGAGGCCAAAGTTGACCGCTGTGCTAAGCATGGCTGCCATGTTGGCCACGTCCAAGGCCAGGTGGACCCTCCAGTCCCGGTGGACGGGGGCCACGTACAGGTGGAAGAGCATGACAAAGATCCGGGGTGCCCACAGGAAGGTGAAGAGCGTGGTGACGCCCAGGAGGATGGCTGTGCTCTTGCCCACCCGGGGCCTCAGCCCACTCTGGCCCCTCCTCCGTAGCCTACAGACGATGGCTGAATTGGTGACCAGGAAAATCCCACAAGGGATGAAATAGACAATGAGGCAATGAGCCCACTTAAGGACCTTGTCCAGTGTGCTGGGGGGGTCTGCGTCCCTCCACACATCCAGCCACCAGTAGAAGGGGATACCAGTCAGCAGGGCAGCACCAAGGACGATGGCGATGGCCCGGCGGGTCCGGCCTGGGGACGAGACAGCACGATGGCGCAGGGGGTGGCACAGGGCACTGTACCGGTCAACTGTGAGTAGGACCGCGAGCCAGACGGAGGCGTGGTTGGCAGCAAACTCCAGGATGTTAGCTGTGCGAACTACAGCCTGGGGCACCTGTCGGGCCAGCACAGCTCCCTGTAGGAGGAAGCCCACGAACACGATGACCACCTGGGTGACAATATCCGAGGCTGTGAGCGCCAGAAGGTAGTAGTAGGAGGGCTTCCTGGTCCTGGCGGCGAGGCGGGCCAGGGCCACTGTGGTCAGGAGGTTGACTGATGGCAATCAAGGTCGCAGAGGGGAGAGAGGTCCGAGGCGTTAGAAAGGCTGCCCAGACTTAGTTTTTCAAGGTGGCATTATCGTCCCTCCCCACCTGTTTGTTCTGGCTTCTCTTTTCCTCTTTCCAGACTCTTCTTAAAACTCATTTTGTTGGAAGGCTAACCAGATCCGCCCTGCCTTATCCATCCGCATTCTGCCAGCCGCTGACTTCCCCCAGGGGGCCTTTGCCTTACAAACAGGCTTCCCTGGCGACAGGCAGGGATGGGACAATCCCCACAGGCCGAGATCCCCTGTCCTTTCCTGCATCTACACCCCTGCCCCAATCCCCTGCTCTGCTCTCTGAAGGCAGTGGATGGGGCAGGAAGCTTTTGACTGAGCTGAGGGCAGTCTTACATGAACTTAGTCATGCTAGGAGAGTGCCCATTGCTGGGGGTCGAAGGGGGCTGTCTGTTCTGGTGAAACCTTGGGTTTAGCTTGAGTATCCCAAGTCTTCGTCCCTCACTTTTACTCCCTACTATGCTTTGCTCCCCAGTGACCTAGATCACCCCAATAAAGGCATGATCCTGGGTCTCAAGGGTCAGCATAGAGGATTGGCATCCATCAAAGAAGGACCCTAACTTCTGGCCATCCCCAAGACCCCAGACCCCAGGTCTCCACTCACCAGGCAGCCCTAGGCCCAGCAGGATGCTGTAGTAGATGACAGGGATGACACCAGCCACACACGGGGACCTCTCTGAGATCTCTCGCCAATGGCCTTCAAACTGCTGGCTCGGCCCACTGCCATTGGGTGTGGGCAGCAGGGTCACTCGCGGCTGGCCAGCTAAGGAGGGCGGAAGGGCACAGGGTTAGAACATTTAGTTTCTTTCCAGCCTGGCCCGCCAGCAGCCCCACCCTGACCCTGATCCTGACCCTAAGGTCTTTATTCACCTTTGCTTTATGCAGACCCCTGGTCAGGACCACCCAAATGACAATACCTATGGCCAAGTCCATACCCCCAGCCCTTCGGTGGCCTGGCTTCCCTAATAATGGGAAGATGCTCTTGGCGCCATCTCTTGCTGCCATGGAGACTATTTCTGTATCGCTTTGCTCCTGGCGGGTCTTCAGCCTGGAAAGTGGGGCCCTGAAACAGGCTGCACAGCACAGTGGAGGCAGGCGCGGGGCACTTATGAAAATACAGGTTCCTGAGCCTCACTCCAGGCAGTCTGAGCCAGAGGGTCTGGAGAGGGGCTTGGGCAGCTGGGTTTTTCACAAGCATCCTGGGTGGGCAATCCTGACCCACCGTGACCCACAGCAGCTGCACGGCTCTACGCAACAGCTGCCCCTCTTCAAGGAGAGACGTTACTAGGTTCCCCTCTTTTCTTGGCTCAAGAGCATCCCTCTTCATAGGTTAGCACTATTGAAGCTGTAATGGCCCCAGTTTTCAGATGGAGAAACTCAGTCCAGAGGGTGAGGTGACCTGCCCCCACTCACACAGCTGGCTTGTGGCCAGTCTAGGATGAGAACCAGCCACAGGCTCTGGCCCCTGTCCTCCTCAGCCCACACTCTAGGTCTTTAGGTTTTACCTTCCAGCTTTTATTTTCTGCTGAAGGTTCCTCACCCGCCAATCTCAGCCCTCTGCTAAGCTTAGGTCCCCCCATCCCACCGCTCATTCATTACCAGCTTCAAGCTCCCCAGCCCCGGCCTCTGGATTCCTCACCTGTCCTTCCACCTGACCCCTCCCCCAGCTCTAGATACTTTACCTGTCTCTTGTCCCTCGAACCTCATGCTCCTGGGGCCTGAGTCTGGGGTCCCCCTGTGGCTTTTTCTGGGGGTCCCTGCAGCTCCGTCCCAGCATCACCAGCTCTTCAAGCAATTGTTTTCTCAGCGGCTCTTCCAGCTGCACTGAGCCCGTTCACGCAGAGAGGAGGGGTGGTGGGGAGGAGGGAGGAAGGAAAGGGTGGGGCTGAGCCTGTCTGTACAGTCGATGGGGCCTGGAGCAAGCCAGGATCCCCAAGGGTACAGGGCAGGGCAGGGGTCAGGCTGGGAGGGAGACCTTGGGGGAGAGGGCAGGACTGGAGCTCTGGGTGGACTACTTTATGTCCCAGGGCACTGGCCCGGGCTCAGCCAAGGTGGTCACACCCTGAGGGGAGGGCTTTGGGGAAAGACAGAAGAATTTGGGGAGCTGACTCGACCAGCATCAAAGAGAGGAGGGCAGGTCTGCAGAGATGGGTGGGGAAAACCAGTGCTGGGGAGGGAGAGGTGAGGCCCCCGTGGGCAGGGACTAGATCTGGAGAGGTCTAATCGGCCGCGTTTGAAGGAGTCCATCCTGCAGCAGCTGCCGACTGTGGGACCAGGAGGAGGCTACCCGAGGGGCTGCTGACTTGGAAGGGTGGCAGGAAGCCATGCGCAGTGGTGGCAGTGACCACCGAGAGAGGCCTGAGCAGGCTGCCAGCAGCGCTGGGAAGCCAAGACCTCGTGGCCCCCGGCAAGCTGTTGTTTTCCTGGCGCTGGTGAAGTGGACCATCCCTCAAGGAATATCAGTCACTGGCAAATAAACACCAGCCGGTGTGTGAGCACTCTGGAGAGGCTGGAATCTGTACTCAGCTGGCTCTCCCCTACTTTGGGGAAGCGTGACCAGTGCAATCCAGCGTGGAAGCCCCGGACAATGTGTGGATTGATCCGGAAAGCTGATGCCAAGCCTGGAATCGCTTCCCACACCTGCCCTCTGAGAATGGAGCAGACTGGCTTCTGGGCTAAGTTAGATCCCACGTCTAGGGCTGGGGCTACCTTAACCCCCACTCGCATCCCCACCTCCAGGGCCAAAGCAGGGCAATCACAGAGGCCTTGCTGCCCCCTGGTGGCAAGTCCTGACCCTGCAGGTCTCTGAGAGTCCCCTGGCTTTGGCCAGGTCCCCAGGGTGGCACAGTGGGACCAGAGTAGAAACTACCCACTCAGGTCCCCAGGCAGCGTCTGGAACCCCAGCCCCAGAGAGTGCAAGTCGCACAGAGAATTCCCCAGGCCACCGCCTCTCTGTCTCACGAAGCTGTTGGTGAGCTCACAGTCGAGTTGTAAAGGCCCGCTAGGTGTGAGCGGCCCCACCAACATTTTGTGAACACTCACCCTGTCCCTGCCCTTGTCACCCTCATGGTAGCCCCACAAGCTAACTCTGGTTACCTCCCTTTCACGTAAGAGGGGACTGAGGCTCAGAGAAGCTCAGCAACTAAGACTAAGACCACAGAGCAAACTCGGGCTTTATGGAGGACGGGGACGTGGACCAGGCAGACAGCACTCAGATGGGGAAGGGCATTCCAGTTGGGGGATAGCGTGATGGAGGGTGCTGAGGCAGGAAAGCAGTGTGCTACCTTGACGGGACAGCCTGGCTTCAGGGGACGCTTTCAACAGTGTGCGCGTTACTTCTTGTTTATCATTAGTGTGTCACACTGAGTACGTGGGGCCTGGAACCTAAACTCATAACTCCGTGATCCCCAAGCTAAGTGTCTGAGGGCACCCTAGCTCAGGAAGGGAGACATTACAGATGGAAGGGAGGCTGTGTGTGCTCTGGGCAGGGCACTCCAGGGTTTGACCCCCCACCCTGCAGGTTCAGAAACCCTCCATCTTGCCCCAAGCTTGCAAGTTTTCAGCTGCTTTTACGGCTCAAGAGCGTCCTTGCCACATTGCCACATGAATGACCAGTGTGGTCACTCGTGGCTACTGAAATAGCTTCCTAGAAAAGACAGCACAGCTTTGTGGAGCTTGAAGTGGGGCAGGAAAGCGGCACTGGAGTCCTGGCTCTCCCCGCTTCTGGCCGGGAGACCAAGTCACGTAGGTTATAAACACTCTTACCTCAGGCAGGAAGTCACACTCCTCTCAGAATTGTTCTAGCTTGTATGCGCATCAGACTTGCTCTCAGGGAATCACGGAGCTTCCGGATTCTCAGGGCAAAATAAAACAGAGTGTCTCAGATCCTCTGTCTCCAAGACTGGGCAGCGCAAACTCCCTCCTTCCTTTCTCCCACTCCAAGGAGCTCACACTGGGCACACACATGCACGCATACACGCGCTCCAGCAACACTCAGGTCAAGAAAATGAGAAGAGAGCATGCCTAGTCCTGGAAAGCCAGTTTCTATATTATTAGAGGAGTTTTAGGGAGAACGGAAGTTATAAATAGTAGGAGATGAGGTCTCTCAGAGATGGGGGGGGGGTCAGAGACGACCCTCCTGGGACTTCTTGGTAACCTGGGACCTCCCTTATTCCTGCACACTTGAAATGCCACCCGTCTAACTGTAGGAAGTAGCTCTTAGCTGAGGTGTACATGAAAATCACCTAGGATGCTTTGAAAACACTGGGGGAGGTGGGCTACACTTCTAGAAAGATGACATTTCGAGACAGACTGATGGAAAGCCTCAAAGAGGCTGGAGTTAAGAAGTGTGTTTACCAAAATACCATTTTCTGAGTAGTAGGTTCTCTTAGCGTCATCTCGTTCTCATCAATAACATTCCTATTGAAAAGTATTGCGCATGGAAGCTGGATGCCCTCAGAGGCCCGGACCCCTGTCCCTGAGGCTCGGTCTTGCTGGGCTGGGCTGGGGAGGTGGTGCAGCCCACGGGGAGGGCAGGCGGGCAGCCAGTGGGCTAGGGATAATGGATCTGGACGAGGGGGACCAGGCATGAAGGTCAGGGCAGCCAGGAGGGGTTTCCGCTAGGCTGGACAGCTCCAACTCTGCCAACCCAGACAGGCAGGTGCCAGGCCAGACCCCTGCTCTGGCTGGAGGTCCAGAGAGCAGGTGGAGCTGTTGGGCTTCTCTGTGCCAGCTGAGGGCAGAAATCAATGCATTGAGCTGGTCCCTGGGATCCAGAGAGCAAGGGAGGGCAAGCTCTGATCGATCCCCAAAGACCTGGCCGCGCAAGAAATTCTGCGCTGGCTCTCTTGGGAGCCCCCACTTCAATGTATCAACCTCGAAGGAGCCCCTCCCATGAAGACTGAGCCAAGCCTCACTTACTCCCTGAAAAGGCGAGGCCTCAAAAGCACCCCCCACACACTGCCCCATCCCACCTTCCTCTCTCCTTTCCGTAGTTTTCAGTAGAGCTCTCCCCTGTACTAACACAACAGAGACTGTGACCTAGCTCTCTGCCTGTCTCCTAGGGAGGTGATGGTGGGGTGTGTGTGTGTGTGTGTGTGTGTGTGTGAGAGAGAGAGAGAGAGAGAGAGAGAGAGAGAGAGAGAGAGAGAGAGAGAGTGTTGTGTGTGTGTGTGTGTGTGTGTGCGCGCCTAAGGTGGGGCTGGGTCTGCTGTGTGTCTCCTTAGAACTCTGGGGAGGGAAAAATTATAGTTGGAAGTTGGATAGAACAGATAAAAGACGGTACAAGGAGGTGAACCTAGAGACCTGAAGCCACTTGGGAAGGTGAATTAAAATGGAAGGAGGCGATGGGGCAGACAGGTGCCCGCTTCAGCGTCTCCAATCCCCATGCCCAGGCGGGCAGCCTGTCAAGGACCAGCCTCACGCAAGGTGGCCAGCCCTGCTCTGAGCAGGGGTGCCTCCATGCAGTGGTACATGGGGTAGGATGCATCTGCTGTGCGTCCGGCCTTGCCATCTTGGCTCACCTTGACCCTGGGGGAGGGTGTGGTGGTCATAGCCCACCACCCACCCCAGAGCGTGCCAGGGACATGCTTCGACAAAGAACATGAAACTGATGCCAGTTACCTATGGGCCCCTATTGGAGACCTTGCCCTCCTCGCTGGAGAGCTAGCCCACTCCAAAAAAACGGGAGAGCGGGAGGGGTGGGAGCCTGAGCCGCCTTATCCCTCTCCCCTTCCAAGCCCTCCCCTTACAGGCTGCTCACTATGGTACTCCAGCCAAGATGCTGCCAAGCGTGCTCTGCCAGGGTGGGGGCTGTGCCTGGAGCTTGGGGGAGGGGGCTGGGGACCCTCCAGGCCAGTGCTGCCAGTTGTCCTGGAGCCCCCTGCCTGCCCTTTGGAGAGCTTAAAATTTCCCAGGAGAGGACCGGCTAGCTCTGCTGGGTGGTAGGCGACATGGGGGAGGGTGCCGGATCTGTCCCGCTAGGGGCCCACAGGCAGCACAATAGCCCCTGGGGCTGCCACTCTCTGGCTAAAGAGGTTGCCTGGGCAACAGCTAGGGCCAGTTTCCACCAATCCATGGCAGAGGCTGGGTGGGGGGAGGGAGGCTGGCCTGGAAGGGGGTGCGATCCCCTTGTGCTGGATCCTATATAAGGAAGGGGGATGTGAGCAGAGTGGTCTGGGCTTCACTGTCCCTCCAGTGGACTTGGGGACTGGGCACAAAGATGCTTAGGCTGGGCTGTGCTAAGCCTGGGTCCTGGGGCAGCTTCTGGGCCATCCTGACCTTGGTGGGCTTGGCCACTCGTGCAGGTGAGTGGGCAGTGGGTGGGGGGGGAGGAGGGGCAGGGCTTCCAGCCCTAGTTGCACGCGGGGAGGGGGCGGTGTTTAGTGGCCAGGACAAGCACAGGGTCCATTCAGTCTGGGAGGAGGGCAGCCTGCCTCAGAGGGGAGGAGGGTCTGGGCCGATGGGCGGGAGTCCTAATGCCAAGAAGGCCCTTTCACTGTCCATTGTCCCAGGCAGCTGGCTCCAGGCAGAGGCTGATGGGATATTATCAGCATTCAGGTCCTTTAAAGTGACAGCTTGGGCAGGCGAGGCTGGGAGATGAACCACCTAATCCTCTCTCACCCTCCCTTTCTCCCTCTGAGTCCCTCTCTCTAACACACAATTGCTCTGCTTTTGTGTGAGCCTTCTCTTCTAATGTCCAAATGGGCCTCAGTGTGTGTGTGTGGGGGGGTATGGGTGTCCATCTACTGCTGTCTCATGCCCTCCTTGCTGCCCTGTGAGGCGCTTCACACCACTCTCTGATTGGGGAAGCTGCTGGCAGCGTTTTCTGTCACCGAGTTTTCTGTAACTGAGTGCATGTCCCCATCTGAC